GACTCGACGGCACATAACAACAACAACAACAGGGGAGTATCCAGTTGAGAACTGAGTCCTGGAATCCTCCATTTGCAAGCCTGAGGACAAGGCCATTCCTAATCGGCCACCCTGCCCTGCCTGCCTCTCTGGACATCTCTTGTGTCTGTAGGTGTGCCTCACTGGGTGTGTCCTTGGAGAGCCGGGCTGGGGCAGGCAGATGCCTCACCTAGGAGCAACACGTCCTTGAACACCATGGATCTCTTGGTGGCTCCAAGCAGCAGGTGCTCGCCAGCATGGGCCCTGAGCAGGGCGACCTGGAAGAGAGAATTGGATAGCGTCTGGCATCTGCACCCCTGGGAAGGCTGCTGCTGGCAACTTGTGTCCCAGCAAGTTGGCTCAGTGCTCCCCTCTGCCTCGTCCTGCCTGAACAATCAAGGGGCATCACAGCACTGCTGCTGTCCTCCCTAACTGATAACCAGGAATCTGGAGAAGGGTCAGCAAAGGCCCAGAAGAAACCTGGGAGGGGCGAGGACATGCAGCTCACAGCCAGGAGACCTCATGCTGACCTTGCCTTTGAACTGCTGTGGCCTTGGGCACTTGCTGCTCCTCTCAGGACCGTGTCTCTGTGCCTGCGAAACTGGAAGCAATCTCTGTGTGTGTTCCTTTTGAGTACAAGCTCAAAGGCTTTCATCTGATTCTCAAAAGGGTCTATGACCCCTGAGGTTCTAAAACTGGGTCATGAACTGATGGACCTGCTACAGAGAATTAGGAAGGGCACATTGTAAAAACACAGCTTGTGAGGCCCTACTAACAGGTTCTGGTTCTGCATGCATAGGCTGGGGCCTGGATATCTGCATTTAGGAAGCTTCCCAGTTGATTCTGTACTTGTGCTTGGGGAATAATGGGTCCAGAAGCTCTCCAGGACACCTGCCACTTGACATGGCAGGATCCTAAGATTCAGAGAGAGTTATAAGAATTTGCATGTGGATATGGGTCTCAGGGCTGGCCTTTCCCAAGGCAAAGGTGTGAGCCCTGGTTGTTGGCAAGGGTCAGCTCAACGGGCAAGGCAGCCTCTGAAGACTGAACTCCGAAGTGGTGTCCCAACCAGTTCATAGGACATCACCCACCCTTTCAGACCATCTGCTTTAGTGTTTGCATGAAGACCAAACAATGGGCTGGTCAACATTAATAGCAGGCTGGTAGTCTCAAGGATCTTATCTGCAAGGCTAGGTTAAGGATTTTAGAGACTGTTTAGGAGGCTTAACTATAAGGCAAAATGCTTTTGTTCATTAATCCATTTAATTGTTCATTCTTTCAGTCATCCAATGTTAAGTGCCTACTAAGTGCCAGACGCTCAGGGACAAAATGGTAAATAAAAGAGACAAATATGTAAGGTCTGTAGCTTCATAGAGATTACATTTTATTAAGGGTGTGGGTGTGTATAGCAGATAATAAAGTAGAAACCAGATAAATAAATAGGACAGAGCGTGATGGAGCTAAAAAGGCAGGCAGAAGAGGAGAGGGGAGAAGATAGGATGGGAGGGAAAGACAGAGAAGGGTGGAAGGAGGGAGGGAGGAAGACAAGAGGGAAGGTGAGGGTGGTATGATGGGGAGCATTGAGAAAGACGGGCTACGTTAGGTGGGGATGGAAGAGTAGGCCTCTCTAAGGCTTGAAAGATACCTGGCACATAGTAAGCCTTCACTTGATGTTTGTTACAAAAGAATGAATGGATGGGTGAGTGGATGAATGAACATCTGGCCCCTCTTGGGCAGCCACCTGCCCTGACGCCTTTAATTCCCTCACAGTTAGAACCTTGTGTGGATGACAGAAAAAGAAGAAAGTGAAAAACACTTTCCATGACCAGGGCAAAGGAGGCAGAGGGTGCTTACTGAGCATGTGTTATGTGTCTTAGACTGGACTAGGGGCTTTGCCCCTAGAGGCTCTCACCCTGGGAGGCAGAAGACCTGGACGAGAATCCCAGCTCTGTGGCTAACTTGCTCCGTGACCTTGGGCAACCCTTCTTGCCCAAGGCCTCAGTCACCTTGTCCAATTGTACCTGACCTTCTAGGTTTCTATGAATTGATGTCCAGAACAAACCAACAAGCCAACAAACTTAGAAGCTAGTTCCTGGGCCACTATGGACAGACTTGGGGTGTCATTTGGAGGACCATGTCTCTCTATTCTCCAGGTGTTCCCTACCCATCCTGGGCAAGATGGGACCCTCCTGGTCCCAGGTTCAGCCCCCCGACATGGTGGCTGTTCTGGGGTTGGGGTGGGGTTAATGATTGTCCCACATTATTGGCCACCCATCACTGCTCTCTGAGAATGCTCTGAGCCTCAGCCAGGGAGGTTTGGGTAGGAAATCGAGGTTAACAATTGTTCAGCTTGGGGGTATCTTGTTGTCCTGCTAAGCCCCTGGGAATGATCAGAAGGGATTAAACATTAATGTAGACTCTCCAGCAGAGGGGACCGGGGCCAGAGCATAAGCAGCAGGGGAGAGGGCAGGAGCAGCTTGGCCCAAATCTCTGCCCAGCCACCTCTGCTAAAGGGTGGGGAATCCAGGCAAGAGGGCCTTGGACCCAGCCCCTGTGTGGAGCTGAGGACCAGCCAACCATCGTTTGCACGGTATGTCCCGCTGTGGGATATTACTAGGTGTTCCAGCAGAGTCTGGGGCCAAGGGAGTGTGGGAAGCCCTGGGTTCCTCAAAGTTCAACAGCTGCCTTGACTGTAGGACTTCTCAGGAACTTGAATAAGCAGACATGCATTGCAAGACTTGTGCAAATGTGCAAAATGTATCAGCAAACACCCCAGGAGCTGGTTTCTACCTGTTCATTGGTATTTCTGAGCTGCCTTCAGAGCTGGGACGGTGACCCAGGCCAGCTCCCCTTTTCCAGGCAGGGAGCATGTCTGTGGAGCCTTGCACTTGCTCTCTGCAGGAGCTGTCATATCCAGAACCTTGGAACCTCATCTGTCTTCAGACTCCCCCAACCCCCTTTTTTTCCTCAGGACATTTTTGGATTCCCATGAATGCACTCTGGGAAGTAAGATGCTGAGTTAAACCATCTTGGTAGGATGCAAGAAAGAAACTAACATTTAGGATGGCCAGCAATGTCCAGGCCCCATGTTCTCATTGCCGTTGCGTTGTTTCTGACTCATAGCAACCCCTCCTTGGGTTTCCGAGGCGGCATCACTACGGAAGTAGATTGCTCAACCTTCCTTCAGAGGAGTGGCTGGTGGGTTTGAACCGCCAGCCTTCTGGTTAGCAGTCAAGCGCCTTAGGCACTACGCCACTGGAGCTCCCATCTAAATGCTCTATGACCCAATTTTGTGCTTTTCAAATAGTAATATATGCAATCCTCCCAACACTCTGAAGTGGATACTACCATTCTCACTTTACAGATAAGAAAACTGAGGCTGCGAGAAGTAATTTGTCCAAGATCACACAGTCTTAGAGCCAGAGCTTAAGCTCAAATCTAACCCCTGGCCCCAGGAGAGCTGTATGGTGCAGTGGTTGGTTAGGAAGTTGCACTTTGGAGTCTCCTTGTCTGGGTTCTAATCCCAGCTCTGCAGAATACTAGCTGTGCAGCCTCGAGCAAGTTACCTAACTTCTTTGTGTTGCAGTTTCCTCACCTATAAGATAAGGTATAATAATAGTACCTACCCCATAGGGTCATTGGAGGGATTGAATGAGCTCATATTTGTAAAGTGATTAAAACAGCTCCAGGCACACAGAGCACTGTGCATGTTTTCCTAGTAAAGTCAAACCAGCCCCCATGATGATACGCAAGGTGTGCCAGCAGGACCCTGTGCCCCCACTGCCCACTGCCCTTGCCTCCCACACCTGGTCGTCCAGGGGGAGCTCGCAGAACGCCGGGATGTACTTGGCCCACTCGACAAGCACCAGCAGCTGCTCCTTCATGGACTCGCACACGTCCGCGATGCTGGCGATCTTCTTGGCCCGGATGTCGCCATTGATCCCAGAGACAGGGGAGGTGATCTGGAGAAAACAAAGGAAAATGTTTGGATTCTCTCCACACTCTCTGTCCCTTGCATCCTACTTCCTCCCATGCCTAGAAAAGGGGGTGCTAGACCATGGGTGCCTTACCAGCTCTGAGGGAAGCTCAGGAACAGAGCAGGCAGAAGGAGGCATGTGAGGAGGTGGATGTGAGGGATAAGGGCTCCCTCTGGGCCTTCCCCTGCTGCCTGCCCCCTGCAGCCCCCTTTTCAGCTCCTTAGAACTCCAAGGAACCCATTGGCCACAGGAGAGAAGCAGGGCAGACCTTATCATCCTTATCTGATAGATGAAGAAATCATGGCCCAGAGAGGGGCTGTGACCTGCCCAAGGTCACAAAGCGAGGGGTGGCCAAGCCCATTTGCCATTTCTGTCCATTGCTCAGTCCTCTCAGTGCTAAGCTGATCTCAGGCCCTCAGTGAGAGCAAAGACTGCTTGGCCTGCAAAGGCAGGCAGCAGCATGTACTACAAAGTGCCCAGGGCACCAGGCCTGTGTTCAAGTTCAGCCTTTGCTACAAAACAGGCTGTGAGACACTGGTGGTACCCCGTCTCTGGACTCAGTTTCCCTTCTAGGTAGCTGGGGACCCGTCCGCCTGCTGCTCCAGGGCCTAGCTGGGGAAAATAGGAGTGGAGGAGGGTGTGACTCCTCTTCCGTGTGGGGCTGTCCCTGGATGAGTTGGGGGGGGGTTCCTAGGTGGGTAGGAGGTCACCCAGTACCTGCTGAGACAGCACTTCGGCCTGTAGGAGCGCATTGATGGAGGGCAGGCTGCTGTCCTCATAGCTCGATCTGCGAGTGCTGATGCGGTCCCGCTCATTCTGGACAGCTGTGAGGAGGCGGAGGGCATGGTGAGGAGGTGGACCACGAGCGCAGGGGTCCCGGGACTCAAGAAGAGTGGGTGCGATGTAAGGGGAGAGAGCTCAACTCAGAGAGACAGTGCAAGCCTGTCCTGGAGCAAAGGAAACACATTTGGGGGTAGGAGGGGGGGTGGTGTCTAGAGGGCAGGGAATTAGGGAAGACAGCTTCTAGCTCAGTTTGTGGAAGAAGTTTCCAAACACCAGGACTGCCCCCTACACACACACACACATACACAGTGGGGGGACCAGGAGTGATGCACCCATTGTGGGGGGCATCCAAGACAGTGATGGCTTGGCAAAGGGTTTAAGATGGGTCTTAAGCATTGAAGAGGAGATCCAACCAGATCATACATTTCTAAGCTCTGTTTTAGAAAAGGATCTTTTTTTTCCAGATGAAAGTGTGTAAAACAAGCACAATGAATTACTCTAGGTGGCACCAAGATGGCTTGGAGTGCCGGGACGGAAGCCTTGGACAAGAAGACTGGGAGGGCCCCATCTGCTCTGAAGGTGCCATCCAATAGCCAGAGCTGCCCATGCTCTGGTCTAACCTCAGAGACAGCAAAGCCAGCTGTTCCCCTCTTCCCCCAACCGGGCTCTCTCCCGGGAACTCAGCGATCTGGGACCTCTGTCCACCGGGGCCCCACACGCTACTTTGCACTCCCATCCAGGCTCGTTCTGACTTAAGATGTCACATGCAACTTCCACTGCCCAGATCCATCCCTTGCGATTGCAGAGGCCTCATTGCAATGAGGCTTTGCTGAGGCTGGAAGGAGAGAAGCCTCGGTTCCTGTCTGAAACTCACTCTCTGTGTGCCCATAGGAACTACATCATCTCTCTGGGCCTCAGCTGTCTTCATCTCTAACACACTTGCTTCCCTCTCAAACCTGGTCCTCTGGAGTCTTTCCCATCCCTCGGACCCAAACTATGGGTGTCTTCCCAGACTCCTCTCACACCCCACGTCAGATCCACCAGCAAATGCTGTCAGTAATCCCAGCAAAACAGATCTGCTGCCGGCACTTCCTCTGCTTCCACCTAAGTGGGCCCTGGCGCCTCTCCCAGGATCAGGGCAGGCCCTCCTCGCTGATGTCCTTGCTTCCAGCCTCAGCAGCCAGGAAAACCAAACCACACCAGTTGCTATCGAGTCAATTCCGACTCAGGGAGACGCCGTGTGTATCAGAGTGGAACTGTCCACGGGGTTTTCAATGGCGGATTGTTCAGGAGATGGCTAGGCCTCTCTTGCACCTCCGGGTGGACTCAAATCTTCAACTTTTCAACTAGCGGTTCAACGTGTTAGCTGCTCACACCACCTAGGAACTCCCAGAAGGTAAAACTCAGCTCAGGGGGCGTCCCTCACATGGCAGAAAACCATGACTCCTCATCATTACAGCAGCAGGCCCCTGAGATCCTGCCCCCTTTTCTGATTTCACCTTTTACGCCCACCCCCTCACTCCCTCTGCTGCAGCCACACCAGCTTCCTTGCTCTTCTTCCAAGGAGCCCTGGTTAAACACTTAGCTGCTAGCTGAAAAGCTGGCGGTTCGAACCTACCCAGTGATCCCATGGGAGAGAGACTTGTCAATCCACTTCTGTAAAGATTAAAAAACCAAAAAATCAAACTCACTGCCATTGAGTGGATTCGACTCATAACGACCCCTCCTTGGGTTTCCGAGGCAGTATCACTACAGAAGTAGATTGCCCAACCTTCCTTCCAAGGAGTGGCTGGTGGGTCAAATGGCTTAGGCACTATAGCCTAGGAAACACTATGATTCTACTCTGTTACATGAGGTCGCTATGAACTGAAAATTGACTTGATGGCACTTAACAACAGCTCTTACTCTGATACCTTAGGAATACTTCCCTTCACAACCTTTGTAGCTGCTGTCTCCACAACCCAGAATCCCTTTCCATATGACTTAGCTTCTCCACCGTACTCATGTCTCTGTGCAAATGTCACCTTTTCTGAGATGCCTTGTCTAATAGGGCATTTCTTCCCTCACACTCACTCTGTCCCCTTATTCTGCTCTATTTTTCTCCTTGGCACTTAACGTAGAATCATCTGTTCATGGGTTTATTGTCTATGTCTCTCAAGAGAAGGAAAGCTCCAGAGATCAGGAACCATGTCCCTCTTGTTCATAGCTGTGGCCCCAGAGTCTACAACTGTGCCTGGTATACAGCAGGTGCTCAGTAAATATTAGTGGTGTGAGTGAAAGAAGGAGTTGGATGAGACAAGCTCTAATTCTTACAAGCACCCCATTTCTCAAGGCAACATGGACTTTCCAACTCTTCAACTTTCCCCTGATTTCACACATAGCAGCTGGGGAGAAATTGGATGAGTCAAACACCCCAGACTGAGCCCAGGAGTCAGTGGGTAGAGAGACGAACACCCCCTCTTCCCGAGGCCCCACTGGCCACCCCTGCCCTGCCACCATGGACAGGACAGCTCACAGCACAGCTTCCCCGCCCCAGCTGGCACTTGGCCCCACTGGCCAACACCCTCCTGTGGCTGCTGGGCCTGCCAGGCTGCCCGCACCCACTGGGCGCCAGTGGCAGAGGCGGGCAGAATAAAAGGGCTGCTGTCAGCAGCTGCGGAGAGGGCTCCTCAAGGTTAGGCCTGCGTTATCAGCGCCCGGTGCGAGCTCAGTCACGGAATGATGTTTTCCAAATGTTTGCTCAGTATTAGCAGGGTCGGGGACCTAATGTAACTTCTATTGAATATTAACCGATGGGGCAGAAGTGGAGAGGAAGATGAGCTTGTCTTCCCAGAGAACCCCTGTGGGAGAACTTGGGGGACTGGACCCTGGTCGGAGGAAGGTCCTGGTCACACAGCCCTGGTCCATCACCAACAGCACCTCCTACACCTTCTGCACCCTAGATCCCTGACCTCTGACCCCTGACCCCTGGTCCTGCTTCCTGGACTGGGTTTCAGATGTCCGGAATTGAGCATTTTCCTTTCATAGCTGAGGCCCAGGCAAATGTCTGTCTCCCTAGCCTCTGGTTGTAGGAACAAAATCTCAACCTGCAGTTGGGCCCACTGACTCCTAGGTTTCTGCCCAGAGTCTGTCCCTCCAAGGACCCTACTTGCAAATGCAATAGAGTCCTCAGGCTGAGATTTACAAGCCTGTGAGATTTGGAGCCCTCTCCCATGGTCAAGAGAAGTTTCAGTAATTCAAACCAGGGAAGATACCTACCATTCAACCTGGTCACCCCCAGTTTGGTGTCTGCTCAGTTCTGGAGAAATCTGAAGTCTAGTCTTGACCATCATATCATCTCTCTGGTGAGATGTCAGTAATCCCAGCAAAACAGATCTGCTGCCGGCACTTCCTCTGCTTCCACCTAAGTGGGCCCTGGCGCCTCTCCCAGGATCAGGGCAGGCCCTCCTCACTGATGTCCTTGCTTCCAGCCTCAGCAGCCAGGAAAACCAAACCACACCAGTTGCTATCGAGTCAATTCCGACTCAGGGAGACGCCATGTGTATCAGAGTGGAACTGTCCACGGGGTTTTCAATGGCGGATTGTAACCTCTTGCCTCTCACTACCATCTAGTCAACCCTGACCTATAGGAACCCCTCTTGGGTTTCCAAAGTGGTAAATCTTCATGGAAGTAGATTGTCCCAATCTTCCTTCCATAGAGTGGCTGGTGGGTTCGAACCACCAACCTTCTGGTTAACAGTCAAATGCCTTAGCCACTGTGCGTGCCATCAGAGCTCCTTTCCCTATCTGTAAAGTGGGGAGGAAATGGATTTGATGGCTTCTTACAGACCTGACTGGTTTATAATCCTAGGTTTCCAGCTCGCATTTTCTTTTCCTCAAGGACTACTTTCAGTCCCCAAACCCTGCTAAAGCCATCTAGGAAGAGAACTAAAAACTCATTTCAATTCATCTCATCAGTGAAGCTGCCATTGAGAATTTCCTGTGGCTTTGGGAACTTCCCATCAGGCCAAGGAAGGGTGGTTGAGGCCACCAGACTTAGGTGAAACCAATTGCCTTTGAGCTGCTTCTGCCTCTTGGCAACATCACATATGTTAGAGTCCAATCCATAGGGTTTTCAATGGATGATTTTTCAGAAGAGTACACAGCAGGTCTTTCTTCCAAAGTGCCTACAGAGGAACTTGAACATCTAACCTTTTGGTTAGCAGTCAAGTGCATTGACTATTTGCAACCCCCAGGGCTCCATAAGACTTGGGTAGAACTAGTAATAACCTTACTTCTCAGAACTCAACCATGGTGGCAACTGAACACTTTGCAACCCTGGCCCATTCTCAAAACAACCAAGAGATCGCATGTGTCACAATTAACACAGGCATATACATAAAGTACCAGGGTTTACTAGGCCATACTCACTTGCTATCAGCCAACTTTCCTGTCCTCCTGGTATGATGTCACTTCTCCTGGGCCAGACTAAGGCTGAATGGGCTGGGGTTCCAACCCCTTCCAGGAGATGGGACATGGAACCTGCTGGCTCAGTGACAGCTCAGTGAGAGGACCAGGGAGCAAGCATACCTGTCCCGGTTGGCTGTGTTACGTACACAGGTATGTCAGCGTGTGGGAAGCCAGACCCACAGATCCAGACCCATCAATTTAGTCCCTTCCTCTTACAGATGGGAAAACAAGTCAAGCAGAGCCAGAAACTTCTGTGAAGTTACACACGTGGAAATGACTCTGTATGTTTAACAAGGGACATATATAAAGACCGACCACCTGCAGGACCAGGCTGCATCCAGGCCCAGGTAGGGAGCCATCTGCTCAGGTGAGCTACCAACCCCTCTCCTCACCTGCCTGGCTCCGAGCCTGAAGTTGCAACATGAGAGATTCACTCTCTTAAACACAAATCCTATGAATAACACTTCTGGACAATCACAGAAGCCAAAGGTACTTGACTGCTAACCAGAAGGCTGGCAGTTCAAACCCACCAGCTGCTCCTTCGAAGGAAGGTTGGGCAATCTACTTCTGTAGAGATACCACCTTGGAAATCCAAGGAGGGGTCGCTATGAGTCAGATCCAACTTGATGACAGTGAGTTTGTTTTTTTTTGGCTTTTGGGATAATAGAATCACTGATTATAAATCATAGAAATATTAGGCCCTTAGACAGTAGTTCCCCATCCATTTCTTATCTCCAGCTGTTCACATGTGAGTCACATTTCTGTTCATAACATTTCTCATTCCCCACAGCGGTTCTCAACTTGGAAGTGTGAGTGGGTGAGAAAGGCCCGACCCCATTAAAACCTGGCCGGGGGGAGGAGAAGGGAGACTGGTAGTTTGAAAAAGCCCTCCCCCACTTTCAAAATCGCTGAGGTCTGGGTGTTAGAATTGTGGTATTTGGACCTTCATTGGGATAAGCAGGCCCAGTTCTTCCGACAGGGCTCATATGCTTAGACCAAAGCCCTATAGACATGGGACGCAGAAGATATCCCTGAGGGTGGAGGCAGAGAAGTAGGCTCAGAAGTGGTCAGGGAACAGGGACACTGCCAAAGCCAAGTGTCCCCTCCTTAGTCGGCCTGGCGCAGGCTGGCTCCCAGGTTCCTACTCCCGGGGTGGGTGGTGTGTGTGTGTTTGTACAGGACTAGAGCGAGGGTTTGGCTTGGGTGGTCCAGCTATAATCTGGAGTGAAGGTCTAGGGCTAGTCCCTGAGCTAGGAGCGGTGAGATTGAGGGAGAAGGAAACAGATCAGAAAATGAACTCAAATGACTTTGAGAAGCAGTTAAAAGATTTTTATCTTGTGAGCTTGAGCTGAAAACAATTTTAAGTATTTCTGGGGTCTGGAGGGCATGAATAGGTAAAGTTGAAATATTGTCCAAATAGCACTGACCTTGACTCCCAAGCTTTCAGGGTTCAAATCTCAGGACTTCCATTGACCAGCTGTGGGGCCTTAGGCAAATTGCTTAACCAACCTGGGCTTCCATTCCCTCATCCATGAAAAGAGAGGGATAATAATGGTGCCAATCCCACAGGATCATCATGAGAAAGAAAGGAGCAAATGGAGAAAATGCCCGGCCAACGATTGGTAGGAGGAGGCCCGGCAAGACCCTAATGCCATGCTCCTGCCTTTCCATCCCCATGCACCCAGGACGTGTCTGGTGCCCTTATTCCTGTTTTCTGGAATATGAAAACTTTGGTGATCACCTGGTACGTAGGATGGAGATGAAAGGGATCGGGGCACATTTCCCAGGACAGGGAGCCCCTAGCTGGTCACATTCATTTAGTCTGGGTGGTGGGCGTTTGTATTATCATTCGCTCCACTTTTCCTGAAGGTTGAACTAGTGTATGGAGAAAAGCCACTCCGCGTATCTGCCTAGTGGTGGAGAAGGCAGACAGGGGTGGCAGTTGCTGCTAGGAGCTGAGTAGCTGGGGGTGGAAGCTTATCTCTTTGAATCTTTCTCAAGACCAAGCCCAGCCCCTCCCTATGGTCAGATTTCCAGGCCCTCCCTCCTCTCTTATGAGCCAGTCACCCCGGGGCCTGTCACGTAGTCATAAAGTCCTGGCTACAGTTGTAAATGACTCTGGGGAGCTAGGGGTGTGGGTGGGGCAGTGGGGTGGTAGGGGAGGGCCGGGCTCACCTTCCTTCTTCATGCCAGCCCGGAAGCACTTCTTGAGCCTGCAGTAACGGCACTGGTTCCTCTTGTCTTTGTCCACCACGCACTGCCGGCTAAATCTGGGGAGGGCTTTGGATGGTTGGATGCAGAAAGGATAGCCTTCCCCTTCCCAGGAAGGAACTAGGACTTCGGCCATCTGGTTGACCCCCAGCTTCCTTACTCGAACTCCTCATTCCAGAAGTTCCTATGCTAATCAATCAAGGCCCTGTGGACTCTAAGAGTCCTGCCAAAGATGGGGAAACTGAGGCTCAGAGAGACAACACGTGGCCATGGGTCACTCAGCTAGTCAGTGGCAGAGCTGAGTTGGGAACCCCAGCCTTTTGAGTAGCAGCACACTGTTAATTTCCATCACATCTCTAAAATCCCAGCATCCCTGGTGAGCCGCTTGCATAAACCACTCTCTGGAGTTGGGTGTGGATGAAATAGAAGCAATGCAGCCGAGTGGCAGAGGTGGGACCTGAGTGTCTGCTCTGTCTCCACCATTCATTCAAACCTGGTGACCTTGGGTAAACTAACCCTTTCTAAGCCACAGCTTCCTCAACTCTAAAGTGAGAATAATATTAGTAACCATCTCAGAGAGGTGTTGGCGGGTAAAAGTGAGATAATATACGGCAAGAGCCTGCCAAGTGCTTACATTTGACATTATTTTATTATTACTGTTACCCAGAACAGGAGATCTATTGAAGGAGGCATGTCCAAGGCTGTAGGGAGCCTGATAGGTAGAAAGGCCTGGGGACAATCCCCCATTTGCCCCAGAAAAGCACCAGGTTGAAGGATGGCCCCACTCTCTGAGGCTTCAGAGGAGGCTAGATTCTAAGCCTCATGGGTTCTCACTTGCTAAAATGGGAATGAAAACAATGGGCTTGTGGGCTGATTCAATACAGCAACGCATGCAAAGTCTTAGTATGTTACCTGGCGTAGAGTAAGTGTTCAATAAAGGGCAGCCAATAACTTTATGAAAAGTGGATGGGATTCCCAGACTAGATGTTCTTTTCTGGATCTTAAAAGACTAAGAAACCAGGGGAGCCTTGAAGGCCTGGAAGAGCAGATGCCTCAGAGACCCAGCCAGGAAGAAGGCAGACCCTGGGGAACTTTAGCCCAAGTGCACCCATGTAGCTGGAGAATCAGAGCCCTGCGCGGGGAGGCCCCTCACCTGCAGGAGTACATGTGGTTCTTCCTTACGCTCCTCCGGAAGAAGCCTTTGCAGCCGTCACAGCTCGAGGCTCCGTAGTGTTTCCCTGTGGCCCGGTCCCCACAGATGGCGCACAGGGCGCTGACACCCAGGCTGTTGGGTGCGTTGAGGTTGGCGTTTTCTGAAGGGGATGTGTCTGTGCCAGAAGAGATACGAGCATGGACTCAGGAGGGCAGTGAGCCACCTCTTGGTGGTGGGGATTCAGAAACCCATATGATAGTTGCAGGAATCTTCCCCGGTCTTCCGCCTCACTGGACCTAGTTCTCTTCCTGTCTCCATCATCCCAGACACTGGGAGAAGCACTGGGCTCTTGGGAAGCTCAGTGTGACATCTACACATTGGGGGTGGTTGTGACACATCGCACAGAGTCGTTTGTGAGTATTGGCTGCTGCCCATGGTGGAGGCCACCAGCTGTGAGCTTCTCTGTGAAGGAATGAAAATCTGGCCCCTCCTTGGCTGCACATGACCCCGATAGACTCCTGATTGATACGGTGGGAAGGTGGGGCAAGGCTGTAGGACAAATAACCCCCTGGCTTCTCCCCCAAACTAGGGGCTGTCCCTTGTTTCTCACCAAGTGACCAGGGCTGGGTGGGTCTCAACTTGGTGCCCAGGACTCGCCTGGGGAGAAGACACACACTAAGAATACTTGCTCTTTGCCCTCCTTGGAGGGTCACGGCAAGGATCTGGGCACTTCTCAAGTAACTCCTGTCCAGAGGCAAAAGGTCCTGGGTCTGTATAAATATGAGAAGGACGGGTAAGAGGCAGAGTGGCAAAGGGGGTCTTGGGTTGGGCATCTGGAGGCCCAGGTACTATCGCTGAAGCTACCACTAACTTGCCTGTGACCTTGGGCAAGTTCCTTTTCCTGTTTCCCCAAGGCCTCAGTTTCCCTAACTGTAAAACGGAGCAGTTTGACTGGTCTGGTTGTTTTCTTTCTTTTTAATTTCAGCATCTGAACCCTTCTTTTTGTAAGCAAATCCTCCACCAAGGATAGACCCTTTGGAGATATGATGGATGCTATAGACCATCTCCTTGGAAAAATGAAGGCATGAACAGCACACATTTCCATAGGAATCCTGAGTCCTTGGTTTCTAAGAGGACATCCGGTTAAGAACTGGAGAGGGGCACAACATTATAGTTAAGAGCACAAACTCTGGCGCCTTGTGCCCAAGTTTGAATCCCAAATTTCCCATTTCTTAGCTATGTGATGTTGGCTAAGTTATCTCCAAGCCTTAGTTTCGTCATTTATAAAATGGGGAGCATAATCTTCTGTGGAATACCTGGTGGGTTTGAACCACTGATCTTTTGGTTAGCTGCCAAATGCTTTAACCACTACACCACTAAACCAAAACCCAAACCAAACTCACTGCCACCAAGTCGATTCCAACTTACAGTGACCCTCATTGGGTTTCAGAGGCAGTAAATCTCTATGGAAGTGGATTGCCTCATCTTCCTTCCACAGAGTGGTTGGTGGGTTTGAACCACCAACCTTCTGGTTAGCAGTCAAATGTCTTAGGCACTACGCCACCAGAGCTCCTTAATATTCCCCTATGGCTGTTGGGAGGAGTCAATGAATCAATATATACTAGTGTTTGTAAAATAAAAACATTTCTGCAAAAGCAAACTCTCAGAAGATATGACTCTCAGCCTCCACACGCAAATGGACACCATCACAACTCACTTTGGACACGGCCTTGTTGAACATCTCCTGAGACTCCAAATGTGCCCAGGAGTGTGGCCCCCTCCGCTTGGTGAATTATTCCCGGAGATGGTGGTAATTGTTAAGCCATGCTGGTGCCCTTTCTCCCTGAGCCTCGCCTCCCCAACCCCCAGGGAGAGCTGACCCCACAACTCCCACTCCCAACCCCCAGGGCCAGCAGCAGATTATCCAATAAGCAAGGTAAGCACTGGCTTACTTGTGCTTATTTACTTATCTGTCGTGAATAGTTTCACATTTTTTTTTTTTCACCACAACTGAAAAACATGGAATCTGCTCGCTACCAATGAGTAAGTAAGCACAAGTAAGACTCTGCTTACCTTGCTTATTGGATAACCTACCCCTGTCAGGGGTTGTACATTTGAAAAGAGGCTTTGATCCTGTAGGAAGGTGCTGTGGGGTTAGGAGAGAGACAGATGCCAGCCATCACTGGAAGCAGAATTTTTGATGGGGTGAAAAAACGTGAAATTGTTCACTAGAGATTAGTAAATTGGGTAATCCAACGTTGCCCAGGGCGAGTTGACCCCACAGCACCCCCTATCCCCAGGGTGAACTAGTCCCACAGCAACCCCCATCCTCAGGGTGAGCTGACCCTACAACTCCTGGCCATTTGGGTGGAGAGGGCAGAGAAGGAGCTTGCATTTCATCCCCCATTCTCCAGAGAGGACATCAAGGCTCAGGGGGACAAGTGACCGGCCAGGGTCATCACTGCTGCTGAGTGGAGGAACTACATCTATATGTCAGGTGTGCTGACCCCTCTGGTGAGTACCACACATGTTAAGGTGTCTAATGAGACCTCTGATAAGTAAGGACCTCCAGCTTCTGCTGCTTCTGAATGGGGAGCAGAGGGTGGGGAGCAGAGGGTGGGGAGCCTGCAAGCTCCCAGCTCACAATGCATGCCAAACACTTTGTAGCAACCTCATATAACCCCAACTCTCAGACCACCTCAGACCCCGGGAATGCAGGCCCTTCTTACACATGCTTTGAGTTCTTGAGACCACCCGTGTGGGGCCAGCACCTGTTATTAGTGCAAAGGATTCAGGGGCATCGTCTCGTCTAATCCTCGGTTAGCCCTGGGAGGCACACACTATCTCCCTCCGTTTCACAGATGAGGAAACTGAGCTCAGAGCGGCAACGTGGCTTGCCAAGTTCACACAGGTAGGAAGGATCTATCTCAGAGTTTGAGCCCAGATCCTCCTGGCTTCAGAGCCAGAGGTTGTCTTGTTTTGGGCACACCCAGCCAGAGGGCTGAACTTGGCCTGTGGCTCAGAAGCACACAATTCCTGGGAGCTGGGGACATGGGCTTTGGAAAGGTGTTGAGGCCAGGCCTGGGGAGCAGCCCAGCGCTGGGCAGTGGCCAGGACTGTGACAGCACCCACTGCCTCTGTCGGGTCACACAGCACTCCACAGCAGCCCCCTTATTTACCATTTCCAGCATGTGACCCTGAACATTCCTAGAAGCCGGCTGGCCAGTAGGTTTAGGGTGATTAAGCTCATTTTGTAGACCATACAGAGGCCAGGAGAAGAGAGATGACATGCCCAAGGTCACACAGTGAGTGGATGCCAGAGTGGGCAAGTTCCCCGATGAGACTGACCACAGCAGTGCATGCCCTCCACTTCCACCCCTGCTTGGTTGCTGCCTCCTCTTTCTAGTTGAGTTGACCACAGTGGTACAGGCCTTGGCTGAAGCCACAGCTGGACTCCACATTTGCAGCCATGGAAGGGAGGCAGGTAGCAGACGGAACTTGGCAGCTGCCACCACTGCTCTGAGGTTGCCCTGGAGCCAGTTAAGATCCTTTCCCTCTAGAGAGCTTCCTGGCTTCCAGGCCTTCTCCCTCCCCACCTCCTTGTGGGGAACAGTCCACCCCCAGTGATGTTGGGAGGATACAGAAACCTCCCCATCCTACCCAAGGCCACAAAAATCTGCTCAGAGACAAACAGCCATGTTGTTGACGTGAACTTCACTTAGCAAAAGCCAAAGCCAAAACCCCACGCATCACGTCCGCATATTCATGCACACCAGAGTGCTTATCCCAGTACACGGGGTGCACACATAGCATCTGAAGTAGGTATAGACAAGCCACATGATAAAACACCCATATAGAACACATGTCCAGAAATCCTGGGGTACACAAACACCCACATGCATAGCACAGGCAGTCACAGCCCCACACAGACATGCCCACAGACACAGGGATACACCCTCACAGTTACATACACAAGCAAGACAAACATAGGCTCCCCTAGCAGCACACACAAACACAGGCCCACTCAGTGAACAAATACCTATAGAAATGTACACAGATGCACAGACACAAGAACACACAAATGTAAATGTCTACCTGCCGGCACTGGTATACCCACAGACACTCATGTCCCAACATAGCACACGCACCTCACCCACACACTTACACAGAAACTCATATGTGTACAGGAAGAGGATCACAGTCGCACACACACTGCTGAGCTGGAATCTATGCTAGCCAAACTTCATTTAACTAAGTAGGGTGTCTACCTCAAAAGAGCCCCAAAGAGATCCTGAAATGCAGTTATGCCTCCACCCACTGTATCCAGGGACAGGACATACCTTTCCATCTCTCTGGACTTAAGCCCAAGGGGTTCAAAAGGGACCATTTTGGGCTAAATTACTAGGGCTCGATGCCAAGAGGGAGCTCACCATCATGTCTCCACTCCAGTGACATGCCAAGCGGCAACAGCTTTGAGGTAATGGAGACTGGTAGGGCCCTCCAAGAACAGGGATAGTCTTTTGCTGGAAATTTGCCCCTGCAGGTCTGCCCTCCCCCAGAATGCTCCTGGTCACTGTCCCTGGCCACATTTGCTTCACCTGGCAACAGCTGTCCTAGCCCTACAAGACCAACCCTATGATTTTCCATCACTCTGCACCCAATCCAGAGTAGCAAAGATTCACTTCGTACCTGGGCACACCTGCCCCCAACTGGCACACCTGAGTACACCTGTCCACACCTACCATTGCCCATCGTCAACACCTGCACATTCTCAAACTCCAGGGTGGTGTAGGCTGGGTCCAGCGCAGCACTGTAGTCGGCCATGTCCATGTCGACAAGGGTTTTGGAGAGGCGCATTCTCCCCTGCCACCACACCTCGGCCACCTGCCCAGCCCAGGATGCCCACCCTGAGCCCTGGCCCCCACCCTCTGCCCTCCCACCGCCTCCTCCTAGACACCCTCTCTGCCTTCCTGCGTTTCAAACCGTCCTCTGGGAGGCTCTGCCGCGAGTCTGGCCTAGGCTCTACACAGGGGTGGAGGCTCTGCTGGGGAGGGGTGGGGGTTAATGGTTAATCTGGTCCCCCACTGGTGGATAGGCTGGGCGGGGCTGTACCGATTTGGCTGTTTGTTGGTTTCTAGCTGACACTCTGGGTGCTAATTACAACTGTTGGGGCCCCAACTCACCAAGATTCTGTCACGAATTCTTCAAGACAGGCACTAAAATTCACTGGCACCCTCACTTGACCCCTAACTTAGCACTCCAAGTCTGGTTTCTAATTGATACACTTAGACACCAATAGCCGCCTCGGAGATACCTTAATTCAAAGCTTCTCCATCTTGGATGTGTGCTTCTGATGCTCCCTCATAGACAATGCTGCATGGCTGTCCGTGAGTTAGAGTACTTCCCAGAGAGGCCAGGAAGGACTGGAGGTCTGGGAGGGCCAGACTCTTGCCTTCTCCTACTGTCCATGACCCCACCAAGAGCCCCGCCAGCCCCCACGGCTCCCAGGACAGGAATTGCTCTGAGGGACAGGCACCCCCTCCCCCTCCCTGTCCTATCCTCCCACTTTCCCCATCCCTGCCCCCCACAACAAGAGGAGACAGGGCTTAGAGCCCCACAGACCTGGATTTGCATTCAGGTGCCTATCACCTACTAATCACATGGCCTTGGGTAAATGATTTCCCTCTCTGAGCCTCAGTTTCCTCCTCTGTAAAATGTGCAAGCTCAGGATGGTTTGAGTGTTAAATGAGATGCTGTAAGTGAAACTCCAGCTGGTGTCTAGCTAATGCCCATCCCCTCCTTCTTCCCCCCTGTGCGTCTTTTCTTGTCTCTCTTATTTCTCTCTAATTTCTCTTCAGTTCAGAGCCGATGCACAACCTGGGCAGTAGCACAGAACCTCAGCTCCCAAGGGCTCCTCACTTGCTTTAATGCTCTGCTATCACTCCCGCTATGGAGTCAGATCCGACTCATAGTGACCCCTTACTGGGTTTCTGAGGCGGTATCACTACAGAAGTAGATTGCCCAACCTTTTGAGGAGTGGCTGGTGGGTTTGAACCACCAGCCTTCTGGTTAGCAGTCAAAAGCCTTAGGCACTACACCACCAGAGCTCCTAGCCATCTTGAAATGCTCAATGATTTTGGAACAAGGGGCCCTGAAGTTTTGTTTTGGACCATGCCCTGCAAGTGTCAGAGCTGAGTCTGCCTCTCTTTGGTGCATGGTTCATGTCTTTTTCTCTCACCCCCTCCAGCCCTCATTGCCTTCTATGAAGACACTTTCCAGGACTCCCTATCTAACTGGGGAGGGAAAGTCACCATGCAGATGTTAAAGAGTGAGGGCACTGGCAGGAGGCCTGAGGATTATCCTCCTCTGTGGGCTGGAAAGGCAGATCAGAGGGGCTTGGTAACATCCATGAGCACAAGTGGGTGAACTAGTGAGAGAGCAAATTAATGAGCAAACAAGTAAATGAGTGAAAGGGTGAATGAATTGATGAGTGGGCAAATTAGTGAGGGTGACTTAATAAATGGATTAATGGGTGGGTGAAAGAATGAATGAATGAGTGAATGGGTAGGTAAATTGATGAATAAGTAAATCAGAATGAATTAATGAGTGAGTGAGTGAATGAGTTAGTGTGAAGATTGGAGTGACTTGGTAACATCTATGAGCAAGGGTGAATAAATTAGTGAGAACAAATTAATGAATGAGTGAGTGGGTGAATAAGTGAGTGGGTGAATGAGTGGATAGTTGAATTGATGAATGGGTGAATGAATGAGTGAATGGCTACGTGGAGAGGCTTGGTAACACCCATGAGTAAGAGTGGGTGAATTAATGAAACAGCGAGTAGGTGACTGAGTAAGTGGGTGGGTGAACTGATGAATGGGCAAGTCAGTGGGAGAGAGTGTGTACTTGCATGAGGGGGTACCATCCTCTCCACACTCTTCTGGTTATTGAAAGCCCTTTCTCGGCCCAGCTTTCTTCTCCCTGCTCCTCCAGTTCCAAAGCTGAGAAAACCAGGGCATCCTGTTTCCTGGGCGGTGAGTGGGGAGAGCAATTGGTCTGGAGGCGAAGAGAGGCTGAGTTTGGAGTCAGGATCTGGCTCAGGTCCAAGCTCTTTCTCGACACAGACTCTGTTTAGATCACATCTCTTCTCCAGGCCTCAGTTCCCCATCCGCAAAATGAGTCAATCCCAGCCCAGGTGTTTGTTGGCCAAGACAAGATCCCCAGAGAGGGAGGAAGAGGGCGACACCCTCACCCACACTTTGAGATTAGATAGGGGTCTGCAGGAGAAGAATTCAAATACTGACAGGCTCCTGCAGGCCCCGCCCTGGGGCCACCTAATCCCGGCTCCAGCCGCCTTGGGGGCAGTGCTGAGCTGGGCAGGCAGGAAAGTCAAACACCTAAGGGATAAACACCGGAGGAAGAAGGGCAGCTCTGGGAGGGGCCTCCAGGGCAGGCCCCAGGTCCCTGCCAGCTGTCTGGCACCTATGATAGGCCACACATAGCTACTGCCTCCTCACAGTCCACAGTGCATGGTCTACATGCCCAGTGACTTGGGTTCTCACTTCACATTTCTGAAAGCATGTGACCATTGGCATGCTAGAATTTAATTGGTATATATATATATATATATATGGGAGCTCTGGTAGCGTAGTGGCTAAGGCACTTGACTGCTAACCAGCAGGCTGGCGGTTCAAACCCACCAGCCACTCCCCGGAAGGAAGGTTGGGCAATCCTACTTCCGTAGTGATACTGCCTCGGAAACCCAAGGAGGGGTCGCTATGAGTCAGGGCTGACTCGACGGCACATAACAACAACAACAACATATATATATATATGGCACTTGACTGCTGACCAGAAGGCTCGCGGTTCAAACCCACCAGCCACTTCTCGGAAAGAAGATGGGGCAATCCACTTCCGTAGCGATACTGCCTCGGAAACCCAAGTAGGGGTCGCTATGAGTCGGGTCTGACTCGATGGCACATAACAACAACAAATATATATATATATATATATGTTATATATATATGTAAATGATGCATCTTAGATTCTGCTAAGAAAGGTCTGTAGTCAATGGCTGGAAAAGGACATCATGCTTGGTAAAGAAGAAGGTCAGTGGAAACCAAGGAAACCCTCCATAAGATGGACTAGCACAAAGCTGGAAAAAATGGGCTCAAACATACCAACGGTTGTGAGGATGGCACAGGACAGGGCAGCGTTTTGCTCCCTTGTAAGGTCTCCAAGAGTCTGAGCCAACTTGACGGCAGCTAAGAACAGCAACAACGTAGTCATCTAGGGCCAGTCTTGCCAAGCCAAGAACTCCCATGAAACATGCCACTACCACCACATGACAAGAACTCCCAGGTGAACTCTCTGTACCCAATGAGCTACTAAATAAATAAACCATGGCATGAATGATACACCAAACACGGCACGCAGGACCCACTGCATATGAAATGCATCTCAGAAGCCCGCTTCTTACCTGGCTTACGCCATCTGTGTCCCACCACGTGACAACCGACCTCATGAGTAAGTCTATGCGCTCATCAACCATAAATGGCATAACCTATTATATAAACGATTTATTCCATCCTTAGCTGACCACAAACAACACCATCTAGATACATGTTCCTCATAGGACCAACCAAATATAAGATCTACTGACTCCATAACCTCAGGGAAGTGATGTATTATTTCCAAGCCTTGATTTCTTCTTGTGTAAAATGGGCCTAACTTATTGTTAGAGGTGAATGAGATACGATGTGGTTCTTAACAAACAAACAAAACAAGAACAGTTGCCGAGTCAATCCCAACTCATGGTGACCTCATGTGTATATCAGAGGAGAACTGTGCCCAGAGGGTTCTCAACGGAAGTAGGTCACTAAGTGTTTCTTCTAAGGTTCCTCTGGATGCTAACCTTCAACCTTTCAGTTAGCGCCCAAGCATGTTAACTGTACTCTCCAGGAACTCCTAAGAGTTTCAGTTGTGGTCACGTTGCTTCTAACTCATGGCAACCCCACGTGTGTCAGAGTAGAACTGCTCCACAGGGAGCATCTTCACATAACCCAAACTTTCAGACCACCTCAGGCCTGTCTTCCAAGTGCCTCTGGGTGGGTTCAAACAGCCAACTTTTCATCTAGCGGTCAAGCGCTTAACTGTTTATGCCACCCGGGGACTCTGCCATCAGAGCTCCTATAAGGTTCTTAGCCCTCTTTTATTTTATTTATTTCTTAGAGACATAAAGCACAGACCATGAAGCCAGACAGACCTGGGTCAAACTCCAGGCACTGCTAACTTCCCAAACTCTGTGACCTCAAGTTCTACCTTTCTCAACCTTAGTTTTGGTGATTCCTTTGCAGGAATGGTATGGGCATTAAATGAGCGAGTGGTGGTACGTGGAGAACAGTGATGGTTGTTGTCATGGGTTGTTGACTCCTTGACCCACTGGCCACCTAATCTGGCAGAATCAAGACCCCTGCTCAGGCTTGCCCCTAGGTATGGCCTGCTCAGCCACGAGTAAACAGCAGCCTCAATGGCTTGTTCAGGAGCCTTTCTTTATCTCTGGCCCTCGTCCTTGGGTTGTCAGACCCTTGCTCAAGGGGCAGTCGTCTCAGAGAACAACAGAGGGCCTCAGAGCTCATCTAGCGGACCAACTCCATGTTGGAGAGCAACTCCTTCATGTTAGAGATGGAGAAATAGACGCTGTTAAAGGGAAGGAGGGATTGTTTTGACGGCTCTGCCTTTGGTAGCCAGAGATCGGGGAGCGGTTCATCAGCTGAGAGCAGGGAGACCAAGCCTCTGGTGAGGACAGTGATTAAGGGCGCTTTATGTACTGACCACATCATTTGCCTTTTAAATGATAATACTGGTGAATGTTTATGTAGAGAGAATGCTCTGCTAGGCCTGCTGCCAAGAACCTTCCACTCTTCTCTTA